TGGTCTAGTCCTGGCCAAGAACTCTGACAGGGACCATAAATCCACGTCATGGTCCTGATTTGGCAGATCTTTGTGCAAGTCGCTAAAACATAGACACTTGTTGTGACTTTACTGCTTTTTGTCTTCATTACGATGACATTTTGATACGTTTTGCCTCTACGTTATAAAACAAACTTTTTTTTTTTTAACTGAGCTTGTGTGTTTGGCGTATGTTGTGGAAATATATATTTTTTATATTTATATTTTATATAAATATATATATATATACAACCCTACAGTAAACATGTTTTTTCCGATCGTCCAGGTGTGGAACCAGAACGGTCGTATTCCGTACATCACCTACGAGTACACCGTGCTGCGGGACTCCCTCCCGCCCATACCCCCTCCCCCGGTGTATACCGGCGCAGACAGCTCCGCTGCCGAGGTCTCCGTCGAGGTGGGCGGTCTTCTGCCTTCCAACGCCAGTGTCCACAGACAGACCGGTCCTCAGTCTGTCCAAGGGGAGGTGGGGGCGGACGGACAGAAGGGCCAGGAGACCAACGAGGTTTATGAGGAGTCGGCAGCCATCGACTGTGAGCAGGACAGTCCCAAATATACAGGTGAAGACCACGAGACAAGTCTTTTGAATGTGGACATTGTCCTGAGGTTGAAAGGTCAAAACAATTAACTTCAATTAAATTTGCTTTTGTGAAAACTTTTTTACCTTTCTTTTATATTAAGAAGACATGTACTACAACAATGGTCTCACAGTGAGGGGCGGGGCCCCTGAAGATAGCAAAGCTATTGCAATTAGAATATGTCCATAAGTTATGCCAAAGTGGGGGAAAAAAAATAAATAATATACAAAACTTTAAATTAATTGTGAAAAAGTTCCTGTTTTAACATCATAAAAAGGCTTTTATTTTGAAATCGATACAATTAACCAATATAATTACTTCTTTTTCAATGCCTGATAGGAGATTGTTTATTTTTTACATATTATATCAACATTCTTTTTATCCACTCACAGCTGAGTTCTGCCGCTTCGATCCGTCAGACGGAAACAGCAGTCGTACCAGCA